ATGCAGTAACCCTAGCAAGACAAGCTGGAGAGGTATGAACTAAAGTGTTTTCAGCTGTGATGTGATGGGTGTGGACAGTATGTGATTGCTTTGCAAAGTACAAGATGTAGTTTGATTCATCTACTTTAGTTTTCATTTAATAAACAGTTTAAATAGAGTTTTATATTATTAAACTTTATGGTGATGAGAGTTACAAATCTAAAATAAGAAATAAATTCTAATTTTGTACCTAGAAGGTTATAACCTTTTTTACTTAAAATTTTTTAAAGAATTATTTATTTAATTTTTTAATTATTATTTTTAAATTTGATCAGAGAGGCAGAGAGAGACAGAGACACACACAGAGAGAGAAGGAAAGTGAGAAAGCAAGCTGCCAGGTCTGGGATTCAATCCATGGTCAGACATGTACGAGTCTAGTACCTTAACCACTATACTTCCTGGTGGCCCCTATTAATAACTGTTTTTTTTTTTAATTTTTTAAAATTTTATTTATTCATTCTTTCATTTTGACTAGAGAAAGAGAAAGCAAGCCACCAGGTCTAGGACTCGAACCATAGTCAGCCATGTGGGAGTGTCCAGGGCCTTAACTACCACGCCACCTGCTGGTCCCAATAACTGTTAAAGACTTAATTTTATCGACATTTTTGTGAGAAAATGTTAAGAGTATCATTTTAAGATATATTTAATATTTTAAATCATTTCAGTATTTTCTCTTTTTGAATGATTTAATATTATTTATGCCTTTTTCTATTCGTTTACCAAAAAAATCTTTGTAGGTGGTTCGTGAAGCCCTGAAAAATGAAATGAATGTTATGATTAAAAGTTCTCCAGCTGATTTGGTAACTGCTACTGACCAAAAAGTTGAAAAAATGCTTATCTCTTCCATAAAGGAAAAGTATCCATCTCACAGGTATTTCTTGTTTTCATTTCAAATGAAACCCAGATAGAGTCAGTGTACTAGGCAGGAGTTTTGCTTCTATACACAATCCTAGGCAGGAGCATGCGGTTGTTGAGTTTAGGCTGTTTGCCCATGATCAGCCTGCCAGGTTGCTGGGAAGAGGGAATATTTAGATTCCAAAGGAATGTTTGGACATTGGGAAGCCCATGTAACAAATGTCCCTCTTAGGCAAGATTTAAACGTTTAATATTGGGCTGTACACTGCAGACTTCTTTAGATGGCAGAGTGGCAGTAATTTTAGGGAATGCTAGAGAAAATCTTTTCTCTCTTACTTCACAGAAATATAGCCAGAACATTGCCATCATTCTAAAGTTTTGGCACTGTCATTCTATACTTCTTTCTAATAATGCCATTGGCCATTCCTGGTCTTTTTAGCCACTGAGAAGAAAAAAAAGATCTTAAAGTTATGGCTAAGTATACTTCTCCCAATAAGAAGGTAATTATAACTAAGAGAAAAAAAATTATAAGTCATGATTAGGACAGCTTATTAGGGCCATTCAGTGTTGGATAAAAGAAAACAGAAAAGAGAAAACCAGTGAACTCAGACATCACTTATGAAACTTACTGCATATTTCTTTTATAGCATTTTTTAGGAAGGCATGTGCTCAAAATAATTTTGGTAGATGATTTGCTTTTTTATTGACTTATTTATTGCTTTCTGTGTTCCATGTCTATTAGGGCAAAGAAAATTACCCTAAAAACTTAGAGCTCTAGACCAACAGCCCCCAACTTTCCTGGCACTAGGGACTGACATCATAGAAGACAATCTCGCCACAAACTAGGTTGGGAGTTGGTCCTGGGATGACCCAAGTATACCTCATTTCCACAACTACCACATTGCAGTATACAGCACACTCTCATGAGAATCTGGTACTACTGCGCATCAGACAGGAAGCAGAGCCCAGGATATAATGCAAGCAATGGGGAGTGGCTACAAACACAAACAGTTGCCGCCCCTACCCTGACCATATAGGGTATTGTGGGCTATGAGACAACAGGCCATGGACTGGCACCAGTCTGTGGCCCTGTGATTAGGGACTCCTGTTTCAGACAGTGAATATTTGTGATTTCACAGTTCCCTGGGATTAGGAATATGGGAGTACTTAGCTGCATGATTCTAGCCAAGGTCTCATGAAGTTACCACCAGCCTGTTGGTAGGGCTGCAGTCATTTCAGGGCTCTATGAGGCTGAGGAATCTGTTCACTTTGTTGATTGCTGGCAGATATCTCAGTTCCTTATAGGTTGTCTGCTGGTAGTTTCCCAAAGTTCTTTACTATTTACTCTGTGAAGAGGCTCTGTGGGCCTCTTCACAGAGCAACTCACAGCATAGGACCTGGCTTCTCCCACAGTGGGGAGAGGGGTGACACAGGGAGGGAGACTCATGGTGAAAAAGAAGGGAACCACAGGGTCATTTTGTAAACTGGTCTCTGGAGTTATACACTGTCATTTTTACTTTAGAAACTTATCAATAATTGGTAGATCTGCTTTTCACTTAAGGAAAGGTATTAGGCTCTAGCTCCTAAAGAGAGGAGTATTAGAGAATTAATAGACATTTTTTTAAAAAAAGATTTATTTGGGGTCTGTAGGTGGTATGGTGGTTAGGGGCACTAGACTCCCATGTGGCTGACCACAGTTCAAGTCCCAGACCTGGTGGCTTGCTTTCTCACTTTCCTTCTCTCTCTGTCTCTCTGATCAAGCTGGAAAATTATAATAGTAAATAAAGTTAAATAAAATAATTTAAAAAAAGAACTATTTAATTTTATTTATAATTACTATAATTTTTTTATATTTTGCTCTAGGACACATATATTTACCAGTGAGAGAGAGAGAAAGTGAGAAAGCAAGCTACTAGGTCCAGGACTTGAACCATGGTCAGCCATGTGGGAGTCTAGCACTTTGACCACCATGCCACCTACTGCCTCATAGACTTAGTTTTTTAAAAAAGAATTACTTCATTTATAATTATTATTAATTTTACTAGAGAGAGAAGAGAGAAAGTGAGAAAGCAAGCCACCAGGTTCAGGACTCAAACCATAGTCAGCCATGTGGGAGTTCAGCACCTTAACCAACACACCACCTGCTAGCCCCCACAGACTTAATTTTAAAGTCACTCCATTTCCTTAATGATTTCTCATCTGCAACAATACTTTTTAGATGTGCATATGTTGTGCGTGTGTGTGCACCTTTACTTACCCTGGCATTGTCTTTCTGAATTTTTAAGTCTGTGATTTTTTAAAATATGATTTGGTAAGAGATAAAATAAATAAAGCTTCCTCATTTTTATTAGTCTTTTCAGTAAGAAAAGGAGAGGAATAATAGAAATGTACAGACTTTTATGTTTTACAGTAGAGTCCATGTAGTTTACAAAATGTTATGGACTGAAATTGTGGAAAGTAGTAAAAAGATGAAGAGTTTGTTCTTGCTTTTAGCTTCATTGGAGAGGAATCTGTGGCAGCTGGGGAAAAAAGTGTTCTAACAGACAATCCCACATGGATCATTGACCCCATTGATGGGACAACTAATTTTGTACATAGGTATGCTTTTACAATTTTACTATAATAATTTTTTGTGTATTAATTGGATGGAGCTTTGGATGACTGTTCAGAAACATATACACTTTGGAGAATTATCTAATTTGTTTAAACTTCTTTATTCTAAGAAAATATATGTATCATACAAACTTTTTATCAGCAACGGTGGAGGTAAAAAGGTAATGTTGTGGACTTGTCTTATATGCCAGAGAGCCCTGTCCCCCATTCTTTGCTTACTTTTGGAGCCATATGAAAATGTAAGCAAGCAACATTGTAGGTTTTTTTTTTCATTTTTTTTTTGGAGAGGTTTTTGCTATAGGGCGCGTGCGCTCGCCAGACAGACAGAGAGAGACAGAGAGATAGAAAACGAGAAATCACCCCCCAGGGGGGAATGGCCACGTTGCAATCCCTTCTCCTCCATTCTCCTCTCGGGATCTTGGGCACGCACGCACACGCGCCTGGCGTGAGTTTAAGCCACCGGGTCCGGGACGCGAACCACGGTCGACTACGTGGGAGTCCAGCGACATAGCCATTACGCTAACTGCTGGTCCCAACATTGCAGCTTTGAGACCAGTAAAGACACTCATGAGCTCACTGTTGGAATGCCGCTGTATAACATGAGTTAAGGCTGGTCCCATAGCCTAGTGGTTAAAGGAGCTGTATCCCACATGGCCAGCTGTGGCTCATATCCCATCCCCAGCAGCTTGAAAATTATGCCAGGTGTGTGTGCATTCTCAAAATCCTTACAGGATGGAGATATGGAAGAGAAGGAATTGCATTGTGTCCACGCCTGATTTAGTGGATTTTTTCGCCTTCTTCCTTTCTCTCTGTCTTTGGCTAGTGCATGCACCCTCTGGCAATTAAAAAAAATTAAAATAAAAATAAAAACAAACATGAGTTCAGCCCAGGAGAGAAAAAAGCTGTTAAAAAAGTATGGGTTTTAGGATCAACACACTTGGGCTTTAATATTGGTACTTTTTATTTATTAGCTTTGGAACTAATAGGCCTCAGGTTTTTTTTGTTTGTTTTTGTTTTTTTTCCCTAAGCCTCAGGTTTGTTTTGTGTGTATGTGTGTGTTTCTTTTTTTTTTCTCTTAGCTAAAGGAAAAGGCAGTCTATTAAGTAAAAGTGAAAGTACACACCTGAGAAGTAGGAGCAGGCCCAAAAGGACAGAGAAAGAGTGGTTCAAAAGTCCTAGGGAACCAGCAGTTAGCGTAATGGCTATGTCGCTGGACTCCCACGTAGTCGACTGCGGTTCGTGTCCCGGACCCGGTGGCTTAAAACTCACACCGGGCGCGTGTGCGTGCGTGCCCAAGATCCCGAGAGGAGAATGGAGGAGAAGGGATTGCGGCGTGACCATCCCCCCTGGGGAGTGATTTCTCGCTTTCTGTCTCTATGTCTCTCTCTGTCTGTCTGGCGAGCGCACGCGCCCTACAGTGAAAATCTCTCAAAAAAAAAAAAAAAAAAGTCCTAAGTCTCAGTTTTTAAAAGATTTTAAATGGCCCTATTAATGGCACCTGCATCATAGAATTATCTGTTCTTGGGACCTAATGAATACAAGGGTCTTCAAAAAGTTAGTGGGAAATGTGTATATATATTAAAAAACCTGCATGGATTTCAGTATTTTTATGAAACCTAATTAAGTCATATCTTAATTCCATTTTATCATGAACTTTACGAAGTTTATGAGGCGCACGTTTGGTTCCCAGGTCAACCTGAACTTGCGTGGTGCAGTTGCATATGCTTATAATTCTAGCTAATTGGAAGACTGGTGCAGGAGGGTCATAATGTTGCTGAACTCAACTCAGGTCCGCTCGCCCAAGCGCTATAAAACCAAACCATAGGCACATGGTGTGATGAAGGAAAGTACAGCTTTACTGAAAAGCGCAAAGCAAGGAGAGTGGGCAGCTCATGCTGAAAAGACCTGTTCTCCCTGAAATGTTCCCCCTCATGTGTTTTTAAGGGCAAAACTAGGGTCAGAGGTCCTAGATGCATGATCAGTTCAGTGATTAGTTCAAGAGGGTATGATCATCTCGTGGGCATTCTTGATTGGTGAGGGCCTTAGATAATCAAATTCTTCTTCAGGTGTCTAGAACCATTCAGCCTGGAGTCTCTGAGCTCACACCCAGCAGTTTCCAGCCTATAAAACATCTTACATATTGAAATGAAAACCTTCTTTCCTTTAAGTGAGAGTTTTAGAGGTCAAATGGCCCTCACTCATGGTCCATGTTGGTCATTATCATAATCAAAGTCTGAAGACTGACTCCTTACTCTGGGCCATTACAATGCAAATGGACTTTATATTTTAGGAACCCTAGAAAATACTTTAGGAGATTCTTGCTCGGTTTTAATAACAGGGCAAGACGCTGTCAGGAGTACCTATCCTTTGGCACCAGCAGATGGAGAAATGGTTACGTTGCTGGACTCCCACGTAGTTGACTATGGTTTAAGTCCTGGATCTGGGGGCTTGAAACTTAGGCCAGATATGTGTGTGCATGCCCAAAATAAAAAAAAAAAAAAAAAAGTATTTTATATAAAGGAGAGAATAAAAAGAAATTACTACCTCTGTGTTCAAACCATCACATTCCCATAGAAATAACTGCTTAACAGTTTATATTTGTGAAGCTCCAAATTTGGTGTCGCAGTCTCTATAATGTATTTAGTCTACTTTGATACCTGTGTTTATCATGGGTCCAGGCTGTAGGTAAAAATGACCAAAGAAGAGTCATTTATATTTAACCATGGTCACTTTTTAAATTGTTAAGATCTTTTTAAATTTTTTTTCTACTTTCTTTTTGGAGAGGTTTTTTTGCTATAGGGCGCGTACGCTCGCCAGACAGACAGAGACAGAGAGATAAAAAGCGAGAAATCACCCCCCGTTGGGGTGGCCACGCTGCAATCTCTTCTCCTCCATTCTCCTCTCGGGATCTTGGGCATGCACGCACACACGCTCTGCGTGAGTTTTAAGCCACCGGGTCTGGGATGTGAACCACGGTCGACTACATGGGAGTCCAGCGACATAGCCATTATGCTAACTGCTGGTCCCAAGATCTATTTTAATGTTTTGAAAAAATATTTTTTACATAGTTACTATATTTCATGGCACTTGACATTCCAAAGATAAAATGTTCCTCAGTGCAGTGTCCCTCCCTCCCACTTCTGTCCCCTGGTTTCCCACAATTCACTCCTGGAAGAGATCATTGAAGTTATGTAAGTTCTTTCAAAGATGTTTCATGTCTGTAGAGGCATCCTGTATATATGTAAGAATATGTAGATAATACCCCTAATATAACTCCTATTTATGCAAAGGGCTATATATTCTTTTCTACAGCCTATCTTTTTGGGGGAGGAGGGATGAGACCGTTTATATGAAAATTTTGTGAACACTTATATATGAAAAGGTGAATTTTATCGAAAATAAGTTCTATCTTGGTTAATTTCTTGCTTTGTCTTTTTTCTCAAGATTTCCTTTTGTCGCTGTTTCGATTGGCTTTGTTGTAAATAAAAAGGTGGGTTTTAAATGTATGATTGATAAAATGCTTTTTTTCTTATTTTCTGAGAAGGAGTAAATGTTTCTCTATAGTAGATTCAATGTTTCTGTAGTCTATATAACTGTTGTTCTAAATATAAGTCATAGGACTCTTAAATTTTTTGGATATATTTCTAGTGAAGAAAATTTTATATTTTCCCAGAAGCAGGAGTTATAGTATGAAATAGATGCAACTGAAATACAGTTCAGTATTTAATCACCAGTATATATGTGATAGAGTTAGATATTATAGGAGCTAATCATAAACAAATCTGCTGAGAGTAGGTTGGAGAAATCTTGGTAACAGAAGAAAGAAGTCTTAGAAGCTAGTCATGTGGATTGCTACTTATTTTAGGTAGGGGTTTACCAAGTAAAAAGGCATTTTAATTAGAATATCTTGGAGACATTGAAGAACATAGGGAACAGTGAGGTGTTGATCAAGAGTGAAACACTGAAAGTGGCTGGAGTAGAGATTGAAGAAGTTAGTTAGTTGTGACCTTACCATAAGGTACTGTGGCTTGTCCACTCAAGAATTTTTAGATATTATTTCTAGGCTGTCAGAAACCAGTGAAGGTTTTTAAGCAGAAAATGATAGATAATTGTAATGATGTAGAAATTATATTTGGGAGTGGAAGTAGCTAAATTATTGGGTCAACAGAAAAGTTATGACGAATTTTTCTGTTTTTCTATGCAAAAATGTGTCATGAACTTTCTGACAACCTGATATATTAAGGCAGTGAGAATAGCCAAGGAAATGCCAAAATCAGGAAGTAGCTTTAAGATAAAATTTGATAAAGGAGACTTGTCAGGGAAAGAATGGGGCATGATCAGGCAATGAATTATTTTGATCTCTTTGAACAAGGTTTCTGCAAGACTAGGTTCTGAAGCATAGGTTCTTAACCTGTGATGATGGGGTTGATGGGAGCCAGAATCATGGGTGGTAGTTGAATTTGTGAACTAGAAGGGACCAATATTAAAAATTAAGAGTACTAAAAGGGAAGTTGAAACAGTGGAAAAGGGAAAAAAAGCTTGCTACACAACTTTTAAGGACTAGGCAGAGAAGATTCTATATGATAAACACTGAGTAAGTGAGAACTGTGAGCATACTCTCAGAAACAAGAGGTACTGAATTAAATATTGAAGAAGTATTGATGATAGTCACTAGTCTCCTGATCTTCAGACAAGGCATTTGGTCAGTAGGAGTTCATTGGTGACCTCTGCAGGAGTTTCTGAAAAATGAGTGATCAAGGGAAGGGCCCACTTGTAATGTTTTAAGAGGAGATTAAGAGAGGGCAAAGTGTGGGCTATTCATAGCAGGGAAGGGAAAAGAAGATTTTGTAAATGTCTTAGTTTATCTGTGTTGCTCTAATGCAATACCTAAGACTGGGTAGTTTCTAATGACCAGACATTTATTGACTCACAGTTGGAGAGGCTGAGAAGTCTAAGATTAAGGAACTGGCAGGTTTGGTGTCTGGTGAAGCGATTTTCTTCTTCCAAAATGGTGCACTTATGTGCTTTGTCCTCCAGACAGTAGGAAGGCTGAATCCTCACATAGCAGAAGGCAGAAGGGCCAAGAGAGAGCCCACTTGCAGAAACCTTTTTGTTAAGGCATTGAACTCACCCATGAGGGTGGGACCTCTCATGGCCTAGTTACCTCTTAAAGATTCCACCTCCCGATCACATTACATAGGCAATTAAATTGTAACATGAGTTTTGCAGACAGAACATTCAGACCATAGCAGAATAGAGGGAGAAACTTGATGAGAAGGTATTGAAGAAAAGTCTAAGAGAAAAGGGACCATCTGATGGAGAATTGTTTCAGAGAATATATGAGAGGGTGGGAATCCTAATGCAGGAAGAAGGTTCAGCTTAGAACGTAGGACAGATCTGTCTTCATCTGAGGCCTATGGGATTGGGAGAAGGTGGCTGTTACTCCTTAAGTCTGGATGTGAGTGGGAGGAGGGTCAGGAATTTCAGGTCTGATGACCTTTTTTTTTTTAACTAGGCAGGAAATTAGTATTTTAAATACCCATGTTTTAGCCATTTGCATGCATTATTATTAGTCAGTATACCAGATTTTCTTGTCACTATCTTAGAGATAGTTGATTTTATGAAGAAAAATACTCGGGTTTGGTAAAGAAAACTTGTCTTTGTCTAGATGGAATTTGGAGTTGTGTACAGTTGTGTGGAAGATAAGATGTATACTGGCAGGAAAGGAAAAGGAGCCTTTTGTAATGGCCAAAAGCTACAGGTTTCTCGACAAGAAGGTAGGTTTATTCTCCAGTTTTTGGTGCAATCGATATAGTATACTCATTTTATTTATTTTTTTAAAATGTTAACCTATATAGTTCTCCACATGTGCACTGATTCACAGATTGTGTTTATTTTCTTTTCACTTTTTATTTTTACTTCAATTCTGAATGCGTTATGAGGAAGCAGGGAAAGCAAATGTAATTGAGCAAACACACACTTCAGGCTCAGCATTATGTTAGATAACGGAGACCGAAGGTGAATGGAGTTCAGGGTTTATTGTTTAAGCCACTGCATCTTCTGAGAATTCCTTGGAACATTCTTCTCTATACTGCTTTTGGACCAATTATTAGCCAATAAATTGCAAAAAATTTTTATTAAAGCTTAGAATCATTAAAATTGATACCCATTTTTCATAAGCTAGATGATTGTTACTTTAAATCTTTCTCTATGTGAGAGTTGATTGTGAATTTTTTTTTAATTGCCAAAGAGGGAGGGAAAAAAACTAAAAAGAGGGCATGTCACAATCCCATTTTCTCCATTTTTCCATCTTGTTGGTATTTTGGGCACACCCACACATGCCCATAATCTGGTATGTTTCTCAAGCTGCTGTGGCTGGGATTTGAGCCGTGGTAGACTATGTGGGATCTGGTTCTCTTAACCCCAGGCTATGGGGCTGGCCTACAGATGATGAAGTTTTGATTAACTTTTTTCCCATAAACCACATCCAGCATTTTCTAGTGTACCATAACATTCTTTCAAGTTCAGCAAAAATGCAGAGCTACTTGCATAATAATTTGAGGTCAGAATCCTTCTAGAATTTTATATTTTTTTTTCCCTGAAGCAAATACTTAATTTGAAAGCAGATTTTTTTTTTTTTTTGAGAGGTTTTCGCTACACGGCGTGTGTGCTCGCCAGAAAGACAGAGAGAGACAGAGAGACAGAAAGCGAGAAATCACCCTCCGGGGGGGTGGCCACGCCACAATCCTTTCTCCTCTTGGGATCTTGGACACACACACACACACACGCACCTGGCGTGAGTTTAAGCCGCTGGGTCGGGGACTTGAACCTCGGTCGACTACATGGGAGTCCAGTGACATAGCCATTACACTAACTGCTGATTTTTTTAGTTCATTGTTTTTTTTTGAACTCTAAGACTTTGAAAATTGGATGACACAGAGTAATTCTGAAGATGTTAGCACGAAAAAGGTACATATTACAACTGAAGAAATGTGGTAGCTTTGATAGAAACAATTCTTTTACTTTTTGTAATCAGGCTTTCAATATAGATCACTTCTGTATTCTAAAAATATGTGGAGATTTCTCCAATTAGTAAGCGAGCAGTTCTCCAGCAGACTAGCTGAGCATTCTTTATTTCAGTTCAGTTCTGTGTCAGATCACATAGGTTGAGGACTCAGACCCACAGACAGACTTCTCCTCTTCAAATATCAGTTGCAAATCTCGGCCTCTGGAAATTTTTACCAGCTGGCTGCAAGTTGGATTTCCCATGAACCCCTCTTTAAGCTTGATTAATTTGCCACAGCAGCCCACAGAACTCAGGGGGAAACTTATGGTTACTGATTTATTAGATAGGATATTTAAAAAAGCACAGATATACCAGATGAAACTATACATAGGGTGAGGTCCAGAAGGGTCTTAGTACAGGAGCTTCTTCTATCCCTGTGGAGATGGGGTGCCAACCTCCCTGCCATGTGGATGAGTTCTCTTTCATCTTCCTGTAAGCCTCCATGTGTTTAATTGTCCAGAAGCTTTCCGAGCCCTGCCCTTGGGGATTTTTATGGAAACTTCATCGCACAGTGATGATCAAAGCATGGACAACAGTGTGATCAGAGTAAAAAGGATATGATTTAAGACTAATGGACCAAGTGGAGAAACTCAGCCAGGCATGGTCAAATTGTTGGCCTTTCTCTGCATCATTCCTTCCTCTTGAGGATGGGGTAGGACTCCACTGAATGAGTCTTACTTTCTTTGTAACCTGCTTCTGGGAGCTTCAGGAACTGAGGACAAAAGGCCAAATAGTTATGAGCCAGGAACTGTGGACAAAAACCAAAATATGTGTGTCATAATTTTATAATATTTAATTAAGAAACGACTAGAAACAGTACAACAGTTATCACATGCTCGGAACAAGCACAGCTGATGGAATACATCTCAAGTATGAGGTATTGAGTGTGTCCTGAGTGTCAGTCATGATGTTTCAGAGCTGAGAGGCAAGACTCTGAATAATCTGTCAGCTTAGCAAATAGAGGTATTATGAGAGAGCAACCACTTATTCAATCCATGAATTTCTCGAGTTTAATTTTTAGCTTCTACTTTTATATTTAAGATATTTGTTTCTAACTAAGCCTGTCATGCATGGAGATAAATTGTCTATATTCTGCACTTTTTGAGTCATGGTTTGAGAAGCTAGACTTTTTTTTTGAGATTTTTTTTTTTTTGCTATAGAGTGCGTGCGCTCGCCAGACAGACCGAGAGACAGAGAGACAGAAAGCAAGAAATCACCCCCCAGGGGGGATGGCCACGCCGCAGTCCCTTCTCCTCCGTTCTCCTCTTGGGATTTTGGGCACATACGCACAAGCACCCGGCGTGAGTTTTAAGCCACCAGGTCCGGGACGCGAACTGCGGTCGACTACGTGGGAGTCCAGTGACATAGCCATTATGCTCACAGCTGGTCCCCGAAGCTAGACTCTTGCTGATGCTTATAATCACTTAGGGATAATAAATTAATCAGCATTTTAATATTTAAAGACCTAGCAGTAAATTTTATTAAAGTAGCAAGAGGGATAAAAATATTCTATTATACTAAATTACATGTGTCAAATTTTTTTAGAATTCAAATAATTAAAATCTGATTATTTAAATTTTTTTTTTTTTTTTAACAGATATTACCAAGTCACTCTTGGTGACCGAGTTTGGCTCTTCTAGAACACCAGAGACTGTAAGAATTATTCTTTCTAACATGGAAAAGCTTCTTTGCATTCCAATTCATGGGTAAGCTCTTTTCATTGCCACCTAAAAATCCTGGTAATTTAACATTTTAAACTTCATGTAGTTCTTTACCTCTTAAGAGAGAGACACACCTCAACAGCATCTTACACTGTGGCCCACCCCTAACCTCAACCAGCTAGGATCATGGGCATCCATGTACACAACCAGCATGTACAGGGAGACCTCAGGGCACAAGCCAGGACCTTCGCATGAGGATCCATCAGGGAGCATTGCTTTACAGTTGAGCCATGATTGATGGCTCTCTCACTCTCTTCACTTTTTATGTCTATGTGCATACACATGCGTTTTTTTTCCCCCTGAGTCATTGTAGAGTAAATACATCATGACTCTTTACTACTGAATACTTGTGTTTGTTTTTTTCCCCCATCTTTTCTAAAGATAGGGATGTTCTCTTTCTGTGCGATGGCAAAATTACTTCCTAACTAATCTACCATCCCATGCAGATTTAGTTTTGCCAGTTGATCTAATGATATCCTTTATAGCCTTTGGCTTCCTCCAGTGCAGGATTCAGTCTAGGGTTGACATTACATTTAGTTGCCATGTCTTTTGGCTTGAGCAGCCTAAAAGATTACTTCCTCAAAGATTTCAAATCACTTGAATGGAGTATACAAGGTAGACTCTTACAATTAACTTCTAGTGTCTCTATATCAATAGTTATTTCAGGGCCAGCAGGTGGCATGGTGGTTGAGGTTCTGGACTCCTATAGGACTGACATGACTTGAGTCCCAGACCTGGCAGCTTGAAAACATGTCTGACGCGTATGTCTGTGTGCCCAGAATCCTGAGAGGATAATGAAGGAGGGGAGACTGTGACATGGCAGTCCCACCCTGAGGGGTGACTTCTCACTTCCCTTTCTCTGTCTCCCAGTGTTTCTCACTGGCAAGCACATTTGCCCTATGGGGAAGGGGGAGAAGTTTATATCTCCCTTATCACTTATATTATTGTGTTTTTTTTCTTTGTTTTTCCTGTTTTTGAGCTTGATTAAATTACTTAATGGTTTGTCTATTTTTTTCGGAGAACTAGAATTTTAATTTATTAATTTGGTTTACTCTTTTTTTTTCTTCTTTAACTTATTTACATCCTATGCTTTCGATTTTTAATGATTATTTTTAAAATTTTGCCGTAGAACACCTGTATTCACTGGAGAGGGACAGAGTGAGAGAAATAAAAAGAGAAAGAGAAAGCGAGACCACAGAAAGTGGGAGATGGTCATGCTGCAATCTCTTGTCCTCCATTTTCCCTTCCTTTTGGGATTTTGGTTATACACACACATGTCTAGAATGTCTGTGAAGCCACTGGGTCTAGAACTCAAATGACGTAGTAGTTGGCCATGTGGGATCCTCCAGTCACCTCAACCACCACATCGTCTGGAGGAAAAAAAAAAAAAAAAGGTTTATTTATTTCCTGAGAAAGGAAGTTCTTTCTCCAACATGCTGGCATGCCCTTATTCCTCCAGCCAAACCTTGGCTTTCCCGTATGGCTACAGGAGCACCCTGCCACCGCATTACTGCGACTGGGGCCATCCCGTGCTTCATTTCACTCACATTGTTCTTTCCTTCTCATTTTTTTCCTTTTTGAGTATTTATTTTAATTCATTTTTTTTATTGATGTATGTACTTAGGCTATGGATTTTCATCTAATCATGGCTTTCATTGTATTTCATAGATTCTGATATGCTATTTCATTACAATTATTTTTCATAAATTCTGTAATTTTTATTTCTTCTTTTACTCAAGAGTCGTATTCTTAAATTTCCATAAGGGAAAGACTTTACTTTTTTCTGTTTTTATTCTGTATTTTTATTGTATTGTAATAATTCTACATTAAGTGACCTGCTGATGTTTTCTTTGTTCCCTAGTATATAATCAGTTTTTGTAAAAGTTCCATGTACACTGAAAAAAAAGTATGTTCTCTATTTTCAGGGTGTAGTGTTCAATATAACGCCAAAAGATCCACCTTATTATATATGTATGCATTTGTCTGCCTGCCCTCTCTCCTACTGAGAATGATATGCCATGGTTTTCTACTGTTAGTGTATTTCTCTGTATTTCTGCTTGCACCTCTTGTAGCCTTTACTTTGTGTAGATAGGAGCTATGTTATTTGATACCAACTCATAATAGGTAAATGGCCAATGTATAATTTTAACAGTGTAAAGAATTCCTTTGTCTTGTTTCATGCCTAGGGCTTGAAGTCTACTTTGACGGCAGAATTGTAATCCCTGGTTTCTTATTGTCCTATTTGCCTGGTAAATCTTTGTCCATCCTTTTATTTTTAGCCCTATTGAAGCACAGCATTTGAAGTGTGAGCCTTGTATATAGCATGCAGTGGAGTTTTGCTTTATCAGTTAATTTGGAAATTTTTTCCTTCAGTAGACAAGTTATTCCTGTTTGATTTATTTATTTGACTGTTTTCTTTCATCTCAATTCTGTTGTATTATCATGTGTTGTAAAGACTATGTGTATTTTGCTATAGTTACTGTGTTTATTTGGTATGCTCGCTCTGCTTTTTCCTTTAATTTTTTTTTGTATTTATGGAAGGTTACATTTTATTCCAATAGATCTCTTTTATATTACAATTTTTTACAATACCTATAATACTCTTTTCTTACATAATTATCTATAAAGGGTTTAGAATTTCTTGGCTTCTGCTCTGTTGCCCACATAATAGTCAGTGATTTTACTCTCCCTTTCCCTTTTTCTTTTATCCCTTTTTTTTTTTTTTTTTGAAGAGGTTTTTGCTATGGGGCACGTGCACTCGCCAGACAGACAGAGAGAGACAGAGAGACAGAAGGCGAGCACTCACCCCCCAGAGGGGATGGCCATGCCACAATCCCTTCTCCTCCATTCTCCTCTTAGGATCTTGGGCACGCACGCACACGCGCCCGGCATGAGTTTAAGCCACTGGGTCTGGGACTCAAACCGCGGTCGACTACGTGGGAGTACAGCAACATAGTCATTACGCTAACTGCTGGTCCCTTTTATCCCATTTTTAAAAGTTGCATTGTTTTCCTTTTTGTGTGTGTGTGTGTGTGTATGTGTGTGTGTCAGAGGGCCCATGTACTCCCTGCCCTCCCAGGAGAGAGAGGAGTGAGAAGGAAAATGAGAAAGCACCTCCCGTAGGGAATGGTCAAAGCCCTGATCTGTGTTCAGTATTTTTATATTTATTGTCTGACTTTTTTTTGGAGAGGTTTTTGCTGTAGGGAGTGTGCGCTCGCCAGACAGACAGAGAGAGACAGAGAGATAGAAAGCAAGAAATCACTCCCCAGAGGGGATGGCTATGCTGCAATCCCTTCTCCTCCATTCTCCTCTCGGGATCTTGGGCACGCACGCACACGCGCCCGGCGTGAGTTTAAGCCACCGAGTCCAGGACTCGAACCATGGTCGACTACATGGGAGTCCAGCGACACAGCCATTATGCTAACTGCTGGTCCCTTGTCTGACTTTCTTTCTGAGAGTGGTTTAGTCCTCTGCTTCCCTCTACTTTTTGTCACAGCATTTCTTCTGTTCCTGAAACCCCAGCATCTATAGGTTTGCATCACTGTGTTAGAATTTGTTTTTCCCTTTTGCTTATAGGTAGTTTGAAAGTTTGTGTTTCCTGATTTCTAGAGCTGCTGGAGGAAAGCGTCTGTGGGTTTTATTCATCTTCCTTGTTGATTTTATCCGGGGGGAGGTAATAGGGATTTTCAAAATCAGAATGCCACTATTATTCTCCAGACCTCATAGTCCTTCTGTAATGTTGGCTTTATATGAAGATAGTAAAAGGAAATATTTATTCTTAAATTTTCAAGAAAAGCTAAATTTTGAGTTCCTTACATTTAATACAATGAGGGGCTAGCAGGTGGTGTGGTGGTTAAGGATGCTGGAATCCTACATGGCCAACTGCAGTTCGAGTCCTGGACCTGGTGGTTTGCTTTCTCTCTTTCTCTCTCTCTCAGTCTCACTCTGTCCCTCTCTGGTCAAATTAAAAATAAATAAAATTAAATAAAATAATTCTTTAAAAAATTTAATACAATGGGTCTTTAAAAAGTTCGTGGAAAATGTGTTTTTTTAATTTTTAGGAGAGATTTTTGCTATAGGGTGTGTGCGCTTGCCAGAGAGACAGAAAGCAAGAAATCACCCCCCACCCAGGGGGATGGCCACGCCTCAATCCCTTCTCCTCCATTCTCCTCTCAGGATCTTGGGCACGCATGTACACGAGCCTGGTGTGAGTTTAAGCCACCAGGTCTGGGACTTGAACCATGGTCGACTATATGGGAGTCCAGTGACATAGCCATTATGCTAACTATTGGTCCCAAATGTGTATTATATTTTAAAAATGGATGGATTTCAAATTTTTTGCACCAAACTAAACTATACTTTGATTCATTTTTCCAAGAACTTCTTGAAGTTCCATTATATAGTTAATAGCTACATTAAGTAGCATTTCTCTGATGTTTCTGTAGTTTATATGAAAAAATATAGTTTAAAATAAGCTGTTGAAGCATAAGATTTGTATGATTTTATTTCACCACCCACTATTCCTTTTTCCTTTCGAAAATATCATTACTAAATTATAAGGCTCTCAGAACTAACCAGAGATATATAATTACCCAGCTTTATTATCAGCTTTATTATGTAGATAAGTTGACTGAGTTTCACAGAAATGAAATAGCTACCTGAGGTCACATAGCTAGTTGGAGATATGACGAGGACCCTGGCTTCCAGATCACTTCTCTTTCTTGAATATTAGACTTCTCCTTTAGAAATCAGGACATTCAAAGCATAGTTTAACCATCATACAAACTAACTTGGTCCATATAATAAAGAGTAAAATAAAAGCAAAAATTGCTTTTGGGTAGCTATAGAACCTCCCAGAATGATGACCTTGGGGGAAGAGTAATATAGTTAAAAAAAAAATACTGCTTCAGTGTGGTGTTTTGAAGCAAGGACTTTAACCATGGGTAATAAAACGGTTATGTTAGCCATAAAAGAGCTGCAAGTGATTATCAACTTTAACCTTTTATTTTGCCATTGTTTCAAGTAAACATAATTTTTACTAAAGGATTTTTTCAAAAGTGTTACCAAGAAGTATACTGACTTACTGATTCTTCCAATGATCTTTTGCTATCAGCTGATTCTTTAGGTTTTCAATGTGATTTTCAAATACTTACACAGAGCAAAATGAGACTAAAGAGAGTCGTAATCTAAATGAATGTCTTAAACAAGTATAAACTGTCTACAAGATTCCCAGTTAAGAAGTAACATTTATGAGACAAAATAAATTATTTTGAGTCCATTTTCTGAGTTTAATTTTTGGGAATTGGCTTAGATGAAATGTACTGTGTCTGTTACGTTTTCTGTCCTTATGATTTATAGAATAATTTCATCATAAACATAACTACTTTTTATGAAGAACTTATATGCTAGGCATTCTGTTAGATACTTTACATGTATTATTTATAATCATTAAATAGTCATCTAAGGTAACTTGGTATCCCTTCCCTACTTTGATGATGAGAAAGCTAAAACTCGGAGAAGAAATTTTCAAGATTGTGTTTTTGTTTTTAAACTTGCCAGAGGGTGCATACACTCGTGAGAGAGAGACAGAGGGAAGATAAGAAAGCACCCTCTATGGGGAATGGTCATACCACTATCCCTCTTTTCCATTTCTCTCTCATTTCGGGATTTTAGTCATGCATATTTATGCACCCAGGGTGTTTTTCAAGCCCCCAGAAACACCCTGAACCCCATAGTGGATCATGTAGGATCTAACTGCCTCAACTCCCATGCTGCTGACCCAGAATTAAACGGTTTTTAAGTAACTGAGCAGGAGTGCAAACCTAAATCTTTGTGACACCAATGATGGTTCTTTTTACACTATATCATACTAGCTCTGTGGGTGGATCAGACTAAGAAAGGATTCAGAACACAGAGCAGAGAATCTAGACTATAGCCTTAATTACCTGGTAATTATATAGTCTTTCTGATAATTTTTTAGTAATATTTTTCCATAAAAGAATATGTTTTGCTGAATATGCTTTGCTAACTATAGAATCCTTTGTCTGAGAGCTCATGATGTTCATTAGCAAACCAGAAGCATTGCTGGTAGGTTTTACTGTTGATTTTCTAGTTTAGGATTCTCTCTCTGACTAGAATACCCAAAGGATTATTTTAGTATTTGCTTTCCATAACATGAGACACAATCTATCACACATCCCATATAAAATGAGAAAATACATCTTTTTTTTAATAAACTAAGAAAAGCCACCAAAGTTACTCTGGCTTATGTGGGAAACAAACATCTGTGGAAATTTATCACACTTGCTATTTCTTAAGTTTACTATGAAGCAAGAAATAGGTAAGGAAAACATATTCTAAATCTGAAACATCTTGTCATTCTGATCCTTTTTTAAAAAATTCCTTTGTCACGAAGGATGTACTCCAGCATAATATTTTTTTTTAATTTTTAAGCTATAAAACAAATATCATATCAGTCATCAATTTTAACAATAAATAAACCATGAAGGTCTTCATGAATAGACCCCAGGTCATATTTCCAAATATTTAAGCAATTATAAAAGGTGCTTGAGTAAAAACTGTTTGAAAGTAACTTATAAGTATGATGACCCTTTAAGAAATACAGCAGATATTTGTTTAATAAAAGGGACAGTCCTTAAGAACCTTATTTAAAAATGAGGAAATTGACACTGAAACATAATCTAATACAGATTCAGATAATAAACATAATCTTATTCAGATTCAGATTTTGAAAAATTGAAATCCAAGATCCAATCCAGGATCATGCTTTGCATTTAGTTGTCATTTCTCATCAGTTTTTCTTAATCCAGAGCCATCGTTTATTTAGTTTATTTTTTATTTTATTTTTTTGCTGTTTATGACCTTGATGTTTTTGAAAAGTATAGATCAGTTATTTTGTAGTATGTCCTTTGGTTTGGATTAATCTGATTTTCTTATGATCATGTTTGTATTAGGAAGTTTGGCAGTTTTTTCAACAGAAGTAATGTTCTGTCCTGCACAGCACAGCATATCAGGAGGCACATGATACTTCATTGTCCCATTTTGGGTGATACTTAGATACTGTAGTGGTAGTCCGTTGGAAAGATGTTGTTTTCCCCATTATTATAATCACTGTGTATCTTTTGGGGAGCCCTTTTGACACTGAAATATCAAAGTTTCACCCACCCATTTATAGGTGATTCTTTTTTAAATCAGTTATTACTATAATAGCTATCAGGTAGTATCTGTATTTATCTTAACTTGGTACATTCCCAGTTAGGAATGACAATGGCATGATATTTTACGCCTGTTAGAAACTGTTTGCCTTGTAGGGGGCATGAGTGTATGTAACATAAACTGTAGTCTAAACTGGTTTAGACAAATATATATATTTCTGATATTATAGTAGAATTATAGCATTTTCTTTATCTTTTTTCTGAATAACCATTCTTTAAATGTCTATCTTATTAAATGTTTGCTTTTTGAAGATCAGTTTCATGATTTATTAGTATATCATGATTAATTAGATTTAATGTAATTCTACTTTAAAATTGTATACTGCCTTTGTTGTTGTTGTTAAATATACCTTTGCCTCTAGATTGGCTCAGGTTATTTCAACATGTAAACTTGAAGTTAAGGAGGAATACTTTATTTGTAAGTGTTATTTTTTTCTAATTTCACTTTTGAATGTTCATCGTTAGGATCCGGGGTGTTGGTACAGCAGCTGTTAATATGTGCCTCGTGGCAACTGGAGGAGCAGATGCATACTATGAGATGGGAATTCACTGCTGGGATATGGCAGGAGCTGGCATTATTGTCACTGAAGCTGGCGGAGTGCTGATGGATGTAACAGGTAAAGTGAGGGGGCAGTACTGTGTCTTCTCTCCACATGTGTTGTGCTTTCCTCTGTATGTGGGTTTTTTGTTCTTTTTTAAAGTTTTTATTTTTTTGAGAGGTTTTTGCTATAGGGCGAGTGCGCTCGCCAGAAAGACAAAGAGAGACAGAGACAGAAAGCGAGAAATCACCCCCCAGGGGGCATGGCCATGCCACGATCCCTTTTCCTCCATTCTCCTCTCGGGATCTTGGGCACGCACACACATGCGCCCGGCGTGAGTTTCAGCCACCGGGTCCAGGACTTGAACCGCGGCCAACTACCTGGGAGTTCAGAGACATAGCCATTATGCTAACTGCTGGTCCCTGGAATCTTTTTTTTTTTTTTTAATTTTTTCCCCTAAGAATTATATTCTTTAACTTTATTTATTTATTTATTTATTTTAATTTGACCAGAGAGGAACAGAGTGAGAGAGAGAGAGAGAAAGTGAGAAAGGAAGCCGCCAGGTCCAGAACTTGAACCATGGTTGGCCATGAGGGAATCCAGCACCTTTAACCACAGTACTACCTGCTGGCCCCATATGTGGGTTTTTTTTAAAAAAATTTGGTAGATATTATACTTCAGCTTTTAAAGCAAAAACAAGCCATGTAGTTTTCTGAAATACCGAAGTAAACATTAAGAAATACAGGCAAGGATAAGAGCAAATGATAATGTGGGACTGATCATGGTAAATGGCTAAACCATTTCAATGTGAGTAGCAAAAACTGCTGAGAGGTTGCAGAGAACGTCCGGACAGTCACTGAGTCTGAGGCTTGCACCAAGAGCTATAGTGGTAGTTGACGGTGCACTTCCAACATCATCACTTTATGTCTTGGGTCTAAAAAGGTTAAATTGTCTCAACTGTTGGTGAGTTTTTTAAGGTGAATGATGAACCAGGGTTTAAAGAATTCACTAGTGATCTGGTAGAAGTGCAGCAGAGAAATAAGGAAATGGGAAAGAGAATGGTATGAGAATGCACAGGAGTCAGATTTCTGTCCGTAGAGTCTTCCAATAAAGAGATAATAGGAGCGCAAAAGAGAAGTAGAGAAAAGACAACATTTTTCAGACTGATATGAATTGAGGTCCCCATCTTTTGCCCACAATTGATAATTACTCAAAAAAAAAAAGATATTTAGAAACTCAGTTATGTACTGCTAGACCTTAAACATTATCTTTATGTGACAGAGTAGGTTTTTTAAAAGAAAAATGAAAGTATTGAAATATTAGGGTTAACCATAGTACATATTAGTATTGCTTTTGTATGAATTATTTTTGTATATGATATAACCATTTTTCGTATTTTATTTGATTTTAGGTGGACCATTTGATTTGATGTCACGAAGAATAATTGCTGCAAGTAGTCGAACATTAGCAGAAAGGATAGCCAAAGAAATTCAGATAATACCTTTTCAAAGAGATGATGAAGATTAATTACAACAGTCTCCTATTCAGTCACAGTTGTTTTTTGCAGATTTGCTGAAGCACTAATGAACATCTGTTTCAGATATATGATGTGATTGATTTGAATGATCTTTGATGTCCTGATTAAAAAATTGGAACTTGTTCTATACTTTACTAAGATCAGGTATGCAAGTATAGATGCAATGTTTGTTTCATTGTTTTTTAAAAATCTGTGTGTAAAAATGTACTTTGGGAAAAATACACAAAAAATACTGTTTATGAGCTAAGTATAATGTTAGTTGAAATAGTCAGTTTAGCAGTTTTGCATTTTTAAGTATAGATGGCCCTCTAAAATTTTGACTTATTAATTATAAACACTCAAATAAAAAGTCACCTATTTGGAAAAAACTTATCTCTTTAGTTCCAAAACTCATATTGAATTACATTTGTAGGGCTATAATGTTTATGTCCTAGACTAAAGTTTCCTTCTTTGTAGAGAATTTTGTTCTATACGTCAGAGTACAAACAGCACCTAGCACAGTACCTGTTAAATAGTAGGCAATCCCAAAAGAATTATTATAAGAATGAATATTTTGAAAGCAGCAATTCCTTGTGATATGGTTAGAGTACCCCTACTGAAACTTTCGGTGTAAGTTGACACACATTGGGTCACATTGGTTGGTGGGGTGGAGTGGAAGACGATATGGGGACAGATTCCTTATTAATAGATTAATGCCAACAGGTTGTCAGGAATTCCCTCCAGAGTGGGTTGATATAAACCCAGTCAGCTGACTGCTGGTCTCTCTTTGCACATGCTTGTGTTTTTCTTTCCTCTTCTCTTGGCCATGTTGTGACATAGAACCAGAAACCAGTGAGATGCCAGGCCCCTTGCCTTTGGACTTTTTAACTGTCAGCATCATGAACCAAATAAGCCTCCATTCTTTATAAATTACACAGTCTCGGGTGCTAGCATCACAAATAGATTAAGACACCTAGTTATAATAGATACATAAATAAACTCACTGTTCTGTATTTTCATTTCAGGTTTTGAAGTAAAAATTACCCAGTTATCCTTTTTATGTTTCTCATTCACATTAACATACTGCCAGATAGCATTGCTTAATGTGGACAATTTAATATACTTTCTCAGAGCATTTACAGTATATGTTAGATTCTCTAAGGTCTGTGTGTAAGAGAGAAGAAGCTTTCCAAAAAACAATTACCTCAGGTATCTGATATAACTAGATACAGTATAACATTTTACTAAATTCAGTATTCTTAGTTTAAAGATGTTTACGGTTGGCACATACGCTGTATTGTTAATATTGAACACATTTGATTTTTCTCCATATTTCTTATTTAACTTTGTTGCTGATAGATTTTAATTAGCTTTTTCAATACTGTTTAATCAAACACCTCATCCTCCTTTTTAAACAAAATTGATCTTATTCTATCATGTACTTATTTGTGAAACACTCTTTGTCTTTGTTATGAATTCCTAGCTATTCCTAGAAATTATTTCTAGTGTAGAGGCAGTAGTTTACCTGTGATCATTGTGGCTCAGTTGTTCTTAACTTCAAGGTCTAGAGTGGAGTCTAAGATGTTATGTTTAAAGAAAGAAAAGAATAATCATTTCAGTCTTTTCTTTTGCCTCATATCAATATAACTATTCTGTCTCATTTAGAAAATAAAATACTTATTGTTACCTAATTAATATATGTACATAATTTAAATGTTCAACTAATACAAAAAGTTCAGAACAAAAAAGAGCATTTTCTTATCCCATTGTCTCCCCACCTCTGAGTCCATCTTCCTAAACACCTTTAGCGGTTGTTTCTGGTACTAAAAAATAAAGTACTGAAACTGAAAAAGAAAATCATACTGGATTATAGACACTTCTAAAGGATTAACTTATTAATGTTGCTTGTCATGTGAACAGACTCTTAAGCTTTGTTATAGGCTCTTGTGAGCCTTGCAGTTGATGAGATGAAAAGTGCTTCAATAAATATAATTTTCTAGGTAGGATGTTGTTTTATTTTTGTGTAAAGCTAATAAATTAAATATATATGATACCATGATTTAAGCAGTATTATTATTGTATTTGTATTATTTGTTGATCACATGCACTTAGAATTTCTCATACTGTTTTATTCTTAGGACAAGTGGTTTTTGTAATTAAATTTATTTTAATTAAGATTATCAATAAAATTTTAAATAATAGTTGATTTTTTACTTTAATTAAATGTTAACGCACGCACACGTGCCCGGCATGAGTTTTAAGCCACTGGGTCCGGGACTCGAACCGTGGTTGACTACATGGGAGTCCAGCGACATAGCCATTATGCTAACTGCTGGTCCCAAATTTTATAATTTTTAAAATAATTATTCATTTAATTTTATTTTTATTATATATATTTTTTAATTTGCTATAGGGCATGTACAGTCACCAGAGACAGAGAGAGAGACAGAAGCAAGCTGCTTGGTAGGACTCAAACCAAGGTTGGCCATATTGGAGTCCAGCACCTTAATCACTACACCACCTGCTGGTCCCTTAAATTTTATAATGTAAAACTACTTTTCAGGGTTTTGTGTTGAGTTCCAGATATTTGAAATTTCTAATTGTGATTGAATAGGTATTATTTTTGCTTATTTCTTTTCCAACTTTTCTAAAGACTTAACTTTTTCCATATAGGTAGGTAGTTTTTACATCTTTTTATGAATGTAATTGGATGTTTTGTGGCTAAAATTTCTTTAGGTACTGAAAAATGATTGATCAGTGACTTATCCAACAATAATTTGAAAAAAAATTTTTCGCTAACAAGACTTTTTAGACTTAACATGTATATGTTCTAGAAAGTATATGACATCTTTCTGTATGTGTATGTGCACACACACTCAGATACCTATAGAAAATATACACATTTGAACACCCCATTCTCCTTTTTAAGCGAAATTGATGTTGTTCTATTTTGTACTTACTTGTGAAACGTTCTTTGTCTTCATTATGAATTCCTAGCTATTCCTAGAAATTATTTATCATTGACTTATAATGTGGAGTCAGTAGTTTACCTTTAATCATTGTGACTCAATTGTCCTTAATTTCAAGGTCTAGTGTAGTCTAAGATGTCACGCTTAATGAAAAAGAAAATCATCTCAAAGTCTTTCCTTTTGCCTCATATTGTTACCTAATTAATATATGTACATAATTTAAATTTTCAATCAATACAAGAACTTCATAACAAAAAAGAACATTTTTTCTTATCCCATTCTCCCTCCACCTCTTGGTCCTTCTTCCCAAATGTCTTTAGCATTCATTTCTGGTATTTATCTTTTTAAATAGTAAATTTATTTTACTGCATCTTTATTTACTGACTAGACTTGTTATTTGTTAACTTACTATCATGGAAGATCATCCTGTGAGTTATCTTTCCCTCTTCCTTTCCATCCTAGTATAGTTGACTGACTCTTGAGTAATGAGAAGGGTTAGGTGCATGATCCTCGGAAGTTGAAAATCACTGTGTCAATTTTGACTGTACAAAAACTTTACTGATATGGAGATTCCTCAGAAACCTACAAATAGAGTTACCATACGATCCAGCAACCCTATTCCTGGGTATCTACGGAAAGAATAGGAAAACATTCATTTGGAAAAGTACTTGGACATCCATGTTTATTGCAACATTATCCACAATTGCTAAAACATGGAATCAACCCAAATGCCCCAGAACAGATAATTTGATTGAAAAGGTGTGGCATATGAAATATTCAGTTATAAAAAAACACAATGAGACCCTGGCATTTGATTGAAAGTGGACAAATATGGGAAATTTAATGCTGACCGAAGCAAGCTGCACTATGAAGGAGAAGTATTGTATGTCCCCACTCTGAATGTCTGCACTCTATGGCAGAAACTGAAGGATTGGAAGGTATAAAGGCACAGAAAGCAACTGGAGATAGCAGAGACAATGTGGGAAGAGGGTAGACAATGGAATGGAGGATGGGAGCAAGGGAATTAAGGAGAAGGAAAGAGCAAAACAATGAACCAAAGAAATGGAAAATTATCTGCTGATAATGCATGGCAATATCTTTGACTAGATTAATTTACAGTGTATTCATGCTGGGAAAATCCATTTTGTATGCTGTAAAGATGTATGGTGAGTGTGAAAAAACTTTTTTTTTACTGACAGCTTACTCCTGAGGGAGAGTGTGCCTGTCCAGCTCCAGCCCTGTCCTTGAGTCCATCCTTCTTCCCTCCAACTACCCCAGCCAAGGAACAAGAGGGCAGCCCCTAGATGATCCAGTTCATGGTCTACTGCTAGAACCAGACCTTGACCCTGAGGAAGCAGAGCAGATTCGGAGGCAGCCCCACCACTGCAGCCTTTGTACAGACCAGTGATGAGTCATCCCGAGAGAGGTGGAGACCAGATTCTCAGCCCACTTCTCAAGTCCACCTTGGCAGTGTCTCCCTGCAGCAGAAAAATGGTGCCAAGGACCAAACTCATGAGAAGCTCCAGATGATGATTGAATATCACCTGGGACAATAACAAGGAGAGAAACTTTATGGAACCACCTGGATCACAGACACTGAAGGGAGTCAATCCTGGGCACTTCCACAAAAGCTGGAAGAATCCATCCCTAAAACTCAGGAGAGGGCTGTACAGAGCCCAGCACAGAGGAACCCTCACCCATAGACCACCAGTGGATGCCTCTAGAGCCAACTCAGTCTGAGAAAGGAGGCACCCTGGAATCAAGTCTGCAGTTTGCAACTAGAGACAATGGATTTGCTGCTTCTTTTTGTAGGAAATCTCATGTTCTTAAGTGATAAATTTGTTTTTAGGTCAAAATGTAAAAAAGTGGGCCAGCGGTTGGTGTGGAGATTACGGCCCTGGATCCTGCATAGCAGGCTGCACTGTTAAGAGTCCAGATCCAGCAGCATTTGTGCTTGGGTGCTAAGAATCCTGAGAGGGGAATGGAGCCAAGCGGACTGCAGTGTGGCCATGCCCCCACCTGGGGGTGTGTGCAATTTCTTACTTTCTCACTCGTTTCTCTTTCTGGTGAGCATACTTGCCCTTTAGCAGTAAATAAATAAATAAAACTAAAAAAGGAAAAAAATTCAAGTGTGTATCAACCGTGCAATTCAAACCCATGTTGTTCAAGGGTGAAGTGCATAGTAATATGTAAATTACTTCTTAAATTGGTAACCATTGTTTGACTATTATGCACTTATTACCTAACAGGTAATGCATTGTGGTTACAATTTCTTCTGTGCATCTACTTTTTTGGTACAGGGGACGTGCACTCTGTAGAGACAGAGAGACAAAGTAAGAACCCCCTGGGGAGATGGCTACAATCCCTTCTCCATTCTCTTGGGATTTGGGGCATTCATGCACATGGGCCTGGCGTGAGTTTTAAGCTGACGGGGTCCAGAACTCGAACTGCTATTTGACTACATGGGAGTTCAGTGACATAACCATTACACCATCTGCTGGTCCAGGATCTGTGCAAGTTTTTGTTCTTCCTGAAACAAACAAATTTCCCACAGGATTATAAGAGTCGTTTTCCATTTGTTCACCATGATCAGATACCCTGTTCTATTAATACTAAACCCTCCTTTCCAAAACATCTTTTGCAGTCCCTTTTTCGTCTGTCTGAATTCACTGCTGGCCAGGTGTGCTGCATGGTCCTTCTAGAAGAGTGTTTCAGTTTGGCTGGCGAATGCACCGGGGTGTTAGGTGGGGCCATATTATGAAAATTTGCTGTGACAAGCCAGATGTGGAGGACTACGGAAAGAGAAACCCTAGCTCCACACACTAGCTCTTCACTGGACTCCTCTGAGCTTCAGGTACTCTTGGCCCAGAACAGTCTACAGTAGTAATAATATTGTTCTTTCTTTTCTTCTTCTGCTGCTGTTTTTTTTTTTTTTTTAGATACATAATTGTAAAGATACCTGTAAGTCATGATGACTCTCTTTTCCTAGTTGCTTCCCCCTACAAACGGGGCTGTGCCCATCATTGTTATATCTACAGATGGGATGGCTGAGCCCCCTAGTAATTCAGGAGATGACATTTGACCCAAGCAGGACAAACGGAAATTGTTGGGAAACTGGGAATTTTTACCTCAGAGACGGAAATTGGGAATGATCAGGAATAACTTAATGTGTTACAGAGCACTTTAGGCCAGTACTGGATAGAGAGTAACATGCTCCTCAGGGAGTGGCTGGCCTCCCCTTCAGCTCAGTCCCACAGGTCTGCCCAATGTTGAGGAATAGAGAGAGGCTACACGTAATGTGCTCTTAATTCTTTATTTCCAGTAGATCAGATGTAATACACGCATACCCCTTAAGCAGTTTATTGCTTTAAATAGCTCATGACATTTTTGTTTGAAATAAATATTAACAATATTTAGCATTTATTGAACATAATGTATCATATTAAGCTAAGCATTTGATCCCAGGAGAGGTTATTTATCTTCATCTCACTGAGGAACATGCATATTATTTCTTTTTAAATTATTTTTTGAGAGATTTTTGCTATATGGAGCATGTGCTACACAGAGACAGAAAGCAAGAACTCATTCCCACCCCCAGGGGGGCTGGCCATGCCTCAATCCATTCTCCAGTCTCCTCTCAGGATTTTGGACACACATGTACCCAGGTCTGGGACTTGAACTGAGGTCAACCATGTGGGAGTCCAGTGCTTTAACCACTATGCCAACTCCCGATCCCCACAGGTGTTATTTCATTAGCTTAGTTTGCCTGCTCAAGATGACACAGCTAAGGCCTGGGTGCAGTGGGTGTGCACCTGTAATTCCCATCAGGAAGACTGAGGCAAGAGGATTATGAGCTCGAAGCTGGCCTGAGTAATAGAGCGAGACTGCCTGGAAAGAGATGGGCATAGTGGTGTGCACCTGTGGTCCCCTCCGGGCGGCTGAGGCACGAGGATCTCAGCACAGTGAGAAGACACAGCTAACAGGTGAGACACCTGAAGAGGTACAGCTAAGGTCCACAGTCCTAACCCTGCCCAGTGGGCCTCAGCCTGCCTGCACAGGAGAATCACCTGGGGAGCTCGTAA